AACTCACACTTTGCCACTGAGAACAGACATATCAAACAGATTTCTTTATTTTTTTTTAAAGAAACAAATGACAAACATTCACCAGTAGCATGACAGCCTTCTTGGCTTCAAAAGGGCTGCAGCCAAAATGGCTTCTGCCTCAGTTTTAAATTCCTCCCCAGCCCAGACAAAGCACCTCTGGTGTTCTTGGCCAACTTGCAATAAAAATATTAGTGTTTTTTTTTTAGTCACAGGAATTAGAAGCCCCGCACTGTGTCTCTTTCATCATAACCAATCACTACCTTCCTTTGTTGGCTTTTCTCTCCTTTTGCAGTGAGACAGAGGATCAAAAAGGATTAGGAGCCCAGATGCAGGTGAAATCTAGTGAGGGGGAGTAGGGAAATATGCTGCCATTGTATTTAATCAGTAATTTTAAACAGTATTTTAAAAGACTGTTCCTTCACCAATGAAGAATTGTCCCCTATTGCACTTTTTCATCAGGTAGGAGCCTGTCCTAACAGTTAGGAAGTTTCTTAAAATGTTCTGCCCGCCTCATTTAATTTCTTCTAGTTCTAACACCTGGGACAATAGTGAATAGAAACTCTCAGGTCTCTACGATTATTGACTTTTAAACTGTACCCATGTAGCAGTCACTGTTTAGCCAGGTTATACCAATGACATCTGTTCATTTCAAGCTTTCCTTAAAAAGTCAGTTCTCCCAGCCCTTTTAACATTTCTTGTTTCCCTTTGACTTAAAACCCTGGACCTCCCCCTGGCTAAGCTCATGGCAACCATGAATATTAAAGTGGGTTAACAGGTTCATTTAAAATGTGGGGGGAGGAGGCTGCTGTTTAATTAAAGTACACATTTTGTACAGTAATTTCCATGCTCAATGGAGTTCGGGTGAGTTTTTTAAGCTTTTATTTTTGTCAATTTTTCAGAAGAACAACAACAGCTACCTCTAGCAAATGCTGTTATGTGGGATTACCCATAGACTTAACAGCTGTATCTGCAACCTGTACTCACAGAGCTCACACTTTAGTCCAAACTGCTTTCCAACCTTGTTGATCCGCACCATGGGCGTATCACCAATTTTCTCCAGGATGCTTGGCAGGATGTTTGGTGTTTTTGACCTAACACACACACACAAGCATGATTCTTGACAATGACAACAAGCAGGTCATACAAGAGCACTAGGCTCAATTCACTCCTTTCACTACTTCATTGTTTTCAAAGTACTTTTTAAAACCTATTAAAGTTTAGAAAAGCCAGAAAACCCCTGATCCAGAACCTGTGCGATAATTGGTCATCAGCCAGGTGTCATGGATAGACTAAAATATGTTGCATTTACTTCAAGCATCAGATAGTTTGGCATCATCGTTACAAACCACTTCACCAGATGAATGGATGAATAAACAATTTAAATTATTTACCTGATTACAACAACTGCTTCACCAGGTTACTTAAAATGAGTTCATTTTGGTTCAGCGTCTCTAAACAAGAGCTTGACAGTAACTGAGTGATTACATATTGTTGTGAATATTTTTAAAAGAATAGAAAGAGGTCTAATTTATTAAAGCTGGTTAAGAACAGAGTTTTCCAGCTTGGAAGAAACAGGTCCTAGTTTTAAGAATATTTTACTTAAGACTATTTCACTCTAGAGTGGTCACTGGAGCAAGAGCCTAAATAATACTCAATGAAATGGCCAGAACCTAGCCTCCCACCTCACAGGGAAGCATCTTAACTACCAATTTGAGGAATTATGCTCACTTTTGCTACCTCTTTCTGACTCAGTGAATCTTGAACATTTTTCTGCACAGTGACACATCTTTACCACGGTGCATGGCAAGTGCCCCCACCTAGATTAGCCTGTAGCCTGATGGTTGCAGCCCTTTTGGGAGAGGGAGTTTGGGGAGAGATGTAAACTGGAAGCATCTCAAGCTGAGGAGGTATTTAATCACAGGTCTCCCACCTCCCCGGCAAGTGGTCTAGCTACCTCACCACCAACACCACCCCTTTGTCCTCTTGTAGTGTTTTTAAAATAGAGCAACTGCAACTGTATTTTTTTAGAGAGCCCCCATCCTGTCAGATGTGCACTGACACTGCCCAAGACTGGGTCCCTTAGGCTGGATACTTAGGGCATCTTTACACATATTTGGTGGGGGGTGTGTTTTAATTAAAGTGGCCCTTGGAGTTGTTCTAATTAAAGTGCCCACAGTATGTCATGTATTCAGTGTCCTGTGCTTCAAAATGGCAGTGGGGGTGCTTTAAATAAAGCTCTTCAACAAGTTTTAATGCACCCCAGATGCCATTTTGAAGCACAGGGATGCTGAATACATGACACACAAAAGCTGCTGGAGCGTACTAATTAGCACACTCCAGCAGACTTGAGTCTGCTCTGACATGCTGTAATTATAGTGTGTCAGAGCAGCATCCCTGCATGTCTATAGGAGCCCTTAGTTCCTGGATCCTGACCATGCTTAGACATTAGATAGGTACCAAGCGATTGAGACTTGACCAGTTCTGGGTATACACAGGCACACACTGAGAGAACATTAAGGCAATAATTTAAGATGCTCAGTGAGTTCAGGTGCCACCAGTTGGGTGACAGCTGAGCAGGAGTTTTATGGATCATGATGTTGGAGTTGTCTATATTCTGCTTAAATCCTGCTCAAGCAGGGCACCCAAGTTCTTAACTATATCTAGCCTCAGATTCCTGGTCATCTTATTAATGTTCTGCCTGCAATTTCTTTTAAGCTAGCGATGTGTAGGTAAAAGGAAAGGGAATGTGTAATCATGACAGAATGAAGGAGTTAGGAAGAGAAACAACATATACACTTTAAAGGCACAAGAACTGGGTCACAGCAGGATCACCCACTGGAGGCATCATCTTACTCAGCAACAGCTAGAATGATCCCTGTCCTCCTGAACAGCTGCTTGCTTAAATCAAAGAAAATTCAGAGTTTGGGAAACAGAGAGTGAAGTCCTGACTTCACTGACAACCCTTTGGGAGTTTGCTACTAGCTTCAGCAATGCCAGGATTTCACCCAGAGCATCTGCACCAGCATAAATTATTTAAAAAAACACTAATTAACTAAACTGATGCAAACCCATCCTATAACACAAACTAAGTTAAAACTGTTATCACTTTGGTTTGAACTGGCCAATTAAAGCTATTTTTAGTTAAACCTATGAAATTCTTGGAGGGGACCAGCTCCTGCTTAACAAAGCAGACAGAGCAGAAACAGCGGTATTACTTACAAAGTTGAATGATAATGAGGGGATTCTGAAAGGGGTTTCCCCAGTTTCCAGGTACACTTGCTAGGTGTATCAGGTCGGATCCATTTCCTTTCTTTCTCCCCAGTGTTACAGGGCTCCTTCTCCAGTCCTCCATTCTGCACACAACTGGCAGACAAGTGAGGGCAAGAATGTGTGTCCATCTCAGGTTTGGGAGGGACAGAAGGCATCGGATCCTTCAAAGAGAAAAAAGAGCCTGCCATTACTCACCCTTACCAAAAGCTATTTGCTGGTCAACGGCAAATATCATTCAAGTCCACAACAGTATCAAATCATTGGTGTTGCTGCTGCTGTCACTATTATTATTACACACCCCTGCACACTGGCATTTCTTCTTCTTTTGCAGCTTAGCTAACCTTTGCCTGGAATTTCACCCTGTAGATATGTAATACTAACATGATACATATGTCAGACTACTTAACTCAGTCATTGGCACTAAATCCCAATGGGATACATAAAGTGATATATTATTATAGAAGCAACTCTATATGATGGTGGTGCCAAGATACACTATGTCCTGCTACTGTCTTGCCAACATTAAGCAAAATAAAACATATGCTTCCTGGAACCTGTAGCTCTCCTTAGATGCACCATGGATTTATAAAGTGGCATGATGATACTTTTAGTTTTGTTTACAATTTCCTTCTTAATAATCCCTAATACTGTTTGCCTTTCTGATGGCTGCTGAACACTGAGCTGATGTTTTTAGTGAGCTGTCCACAATGACTCCCAGATCTCTTTCCTGGATGGCAATAGCTAATGTAGAACCCAACACAGTGTAGTTTGGGTTATTTTGAGGTTATTTTGGCCCAGGTGCATCACTTCACACTTATCTACATTGAATTTCATCTAACATTTAGTTGTCCATTTGCTCAATCATGCTTAGTTCCTCACAGTCCACACTGGTTTTTACCACTTTGAATAATGTTGTGTCATTGGCAAATATAGCCACCTCACTATTCATCCCCTTTTCCAGATCAATTCTGAAAATGTTAAACAGACCTGTTCCCAACACAGATCCCTGGGGGACTCTGCTGTTTACTTCTTTCCATGCTGAAAACTGATCATTTATACTCCATTTTTACTTTCTTTGAGCCAATCTCTAATCCACGAGTGGACATTCCCTGTAATCCCCGACTACCTAATTTAGGTATCAGCCTCTGATAGGGGACCTTTTTTGGAAGTCCAAGTATAATATATCAACTGGATTGCCCTGATCCACCTGCTTATGGACACACTTAGAGAACTCTAGTAAATTGGTGAGATATGATTTCCCTTTGACAAAGCCATGTTATGTTCGCTAGCAAGTCATGTTCATCCATGTGCTGAACAATTCTATTTTTTATTTTTGTTTTTACCAGTTTTCTAAAAGCAGAAGTTAGGTTCACTGGCTTGTAATTCCCTGCAACCCCACTAGAGACTTTGTTTAAATTGGCAACCCTCCAGTCCTCTGGTACTGTTTTTAGTGATAGGTTATATACTACAGTTAGTTCAGCAATTTTTGAACTAAGATCCTTCAGAACCCTAGGGTGAATGCCATCAAGTCCTGGTGATTTTCTACTCTTTAGTTTATCAGTTCCTCTGCAACCTCATCTATTGAAACCTCAGTTTGGGTCAGCTCTACTAACTTGTCCTTAGCATCTTCCACAATGAACACAGGTGCAAAGAATGCATTTAGTTTCTCAGAAATAGCTCAGTCATCCTTTAGTGCCCCTTTTACATCCTGAACATCCAATGGCCCAGCTGACCCCTCTGGCTTTGGTTTCTAATGTACTTAAAGATTTTTTTATTGTCACCTTTTGTGTCTCTAGCAAGCTTCTCCTCAAATTCTCTCAGCTTGTCTCATTCCAGTTTTACATTTGATTTGCCAGTTTGTGCTCCCCCCATTAGGATTTGACTTCAACTTCTTGAAAAAAGCATGTTTTCTGCTTATTACCTCTACAACTCTGCCATTAAACCACGCTGGCTTTCTTTTGGTCCACTTTCCGTTTGTTGGGGGGGTTTTTTTATTTGCAGTAAGCATCTACTCTGTACATCCAGTATGGTGTCCGTAAGCAGTTCCTACGCTGCTTGCAAGTTCCTCACCTCCTTAGGGGCCCTTTTTAACTTCTCACTTCCTCATTTTGGTGAAGTCTCCCTTTTTAAAATCACAGATGACTGTGGTAGATTTTCTTCTCATCTCCCCTCCTACATGGACCCAATTGCATTGTGGTCACTGTTGCTGAGCAGCTCAGTAACGTTTTACACCAAATCCTGAGCATTGCTTAGGACTAGGTCAAAAATGGCCTTTTCTCTTATACGTTCCAGCTCTAGCAGAAGTTCTTTATAACATCAAGAAATTTGGTCTCTGTATCCTGACTTGATATTACATTGCCTCAGTCTATTTATGGCTGGTTGAAGTCCCTCATCATTGCTGTGTTTTCTGCTGTTGCAGCCTCTCTCATCTCCCTTTGCATTTCTTGCTCATTACTGCTATCCCAGTCTGGGGGTCAATAGTATGTTTCTAGATGTACTTTTTTCTATTTAAACTCAGGATTTCTATCCACAAAGATTGTATGATACCACTCTTACAAGTTGAAAAATCTACCCTATTTGATTTTATGCAGTCTTTGATGTAAAGTGCAACTCCTTTGATGTGGAGTATGACCTACTCCATCATAGCTATATAATTTGTATCCTGATATTAAAGCATCCCATGGATTTTCCTCATTCCACCATGTTTCAGAGATACCTATTATGTCAATATCATTATTTACTGCTAAGAATTTGAGTTCTCCCCCCTTGGATCTTAGACTTCTAGCATTGATATAAAAGCATGTTAACCATTGCATATTAACCAATTACTTCCAATGTCTGATCAGTGCAATGGCAGGACAGCAATCTCATCTCCTTTGCTTTTACCTATGGCATATTGCAAGGGATTCTTATGTTTGTGGTTTGTGCCAGGCGGTAGAGTTGGATATTTGAGCGGTCAGTAAAAACTTTATCAATTAACTGGTCAAATAATGTGTTAAAACAGTAAAGAGAGAGACTTGAATCTTCACTAGGTTAGATACTTAGGCTGTTACAAAAATCAAATTAGTTGTTATTTAAGAAATAATGAAACGGAATTCTAAAAAAATGAAATGAATTATGATAGCTTAAAATGTCAGGCAAGTACAATTCTGAATGGCATTCAATAACGAACAGCTCTCTTCTTTGGCTCTTACCCTGGACACCCAGGGTCAGCTCAAACAATTATAAAATTAAAAAAGAAAAGAAATTAAAGCACATATAACAACTATAATACACCAAATCCAGTTTTTAAATGTAGGTAGGCTAAGTAGGCAACAAGCCAACTCTTTAAGCATCTTGCTGTTTGAATCTTCCTGTTCCTGTTTGGAGATGAATGCAGGCACGGCCAATGGCAACATTTCTATGCTGCTGGTTTGGGTTTTTCCTTCAGCACAGAATAGCTCCTGTAGCTCCACATGGCTTAAAATGGGGGCAGGGTAGTAGCATAATTAGGGGTGGGTGAACAAGGCACCAACTTAGGAAGGGTGCCAGAATTGTCCCCCAGCACTTCAGTGTCTACTCCAGAAAAAAAAAAAATGGCTCTTGCATGGACACTGCACTGCTACTGTAACAGCAATTGTTGGGGTGGGCAGACTATGATGTGGATGCAGCAGTCGGGGGCTGTTTGAGTCTCTGGTAAGTCTCCCGAGTTTCCTCTCCACACCCACCAACTCTTCTCCCAGCTCTCAGAACACCTCCCTGAGCATCTCCACCCACACTTCCCTGCCCATGTCTCCACAGTCGTCTCCCCGCTCTCCTGCAGGACTTACCTGGACTGCATGGGTGACTGACTGGTGCCTCCTAGCTCTGGGGGGGCACCAGCTGCTGATCACCAATGGGGGAGGTCCCCCAGCGGCCGATCACTGACCTGGGGGGGGGGGGGGTCCAGCAGGGGTCGATAGCTGCCATCAGCAAAAATGCCGGCACTTATTGTGGGGGAGGAGGGGGCGCACCGACCAGTGCTCCCCATGCTGGAGTGCAAACCTTGCTCATTACACCTTTGAGAAGGTGGGGGAGGGAGTGGAAAAGGCTGAAAAAACTCAGGAAAGAAGAACAAGGTGGGGAGAGGTACCTGCTCCTAAATGGGATGTGTTTGTATCTCTTGACTCTTGTCGCTGATGAAATGGAATAAAAACTGATCAACTGACAGGATGGCCGGGACAAGTGTTTACAATGGGACTGTCCCAGCAAAAGCAGAAGCTTTGGTCACCCTATTCATGGAATATTTAACAATATTTGAGCATAAGCAAGTAATAGGCAGTCAGCTGACTATATCTGACTGATCCACTGACTGGCTTGCCAACCCTACCTGGCAGGGGAAACACGATGTATCTGGGTCCATGAAGGCAGTTTTCCTTAAGCATGCTTAGAGATAACTGCTCTTCTGGCGTGGTTTAGTACCCAGCGAGGTTTTGGGGCTTTAAGCCCACTTTATGGAACTGGGAGGCCATATGGCTGAGAGCAGGTGAAACTTGCGGGCATCCGAACCCCAAACCTCCGGGCTTGGGCCTGCACATAAGATGCCTGCCAAGGACCTTGGAAACATCTGAAGCCTGAGGTGAGGGTGGAGGACATTTGACGGCTGTAGGACCACTTATGGTTCTGGACTGACTCATGGATTTGGACTTGATTTGGCTTGGAACACAAAAAAAGTCCTTAAAAATCAATCAATCAATCTTGGGAGTAGGGAATGAAGATTTAAAGTGGCAATTTTGATAAACCCCTTGGTTCACCAGTGACTGCTGAATACAGAAGACCAGACTCAATGGCCTGAGAGACCTCCTTCAGCCTTTTGTTTCCCTCTCCCCCTGTGGGTCAGAGACTGAGACTTATAGGGGGCAGAGCTGTGCAGCCAGCCCTGCCGGCAGCGGGAGGAGTGGGGGAACCCCTCCAGTGTAGAGCTGCTCCTAGCTGGGTAGACCCCAACTTGAGGGGAGCCTGGGGCCAGGCTGG